AACTTTCAGTTAAAAAATAAGTTACAAAAAATTTAATTTATTTTTCATGTGGTGTTTACAATTATCCAAAAAAATTAGAAGTTACAAAAACACTACTCTGTGTGCAAATCGATGGAGTAGACGTCACTTCCCACTTTTACACGCAATCTTATTTAAATGTTGGTCAAATGCATCAGTGGCGGCTGCTTTATCTAATTACCCATTAAATTCAACATGAAAAGTGTGGCAAAGTAGGAGCCAATAGACAAGACTCTGTATTTAAATTATTTGTACTAACTTTGACTTAAAACGTCCATCTCCTACAGATTACGGAAATGTAATTTATGTTCATCTTGCAAATTCATGGTGCAACCGAAATGAATATAGTTTTCTTTACTTGGAATCAAACACAATAAAGTATTAAGTAAACAACGTAAGCAATTTCACTTGTATTCGGTGTTGATGTGTTAGTGAGTTTTAAAAAATTATCAGACAACAGAGAAAACCAGAGCCATATATTTCAGTGCTCAAGTTCCATCCTACTGATATTGTAATATTTCCCAATGGTTTACATATTTGGTGGTAAATAAACAATACCATGCATTATATTTAGATTTTTTTTTTTAATTTCAGGGTACAGTGTATTTTTAAAACGTTTGCTTGCATTTCAAGAGGCTCCTATGTCCTTTTTACAAATTAAGTAACCAATAAGATAAAATATAATTAGATTGTCAGGAATTAGCATTAACTGTCAATTTTTAAATGTTCAAAAGATTTTCAAGTTGACATTCAATCTGTTTCCAAATACATAGCAAAATTCATGGGTTTTCATCGAACGCATGCAAAATACGACGTATTATGGAGTACTTAAAATTTATTTTTTTTCACAGTATTTTACCGATAAACTTCATTGCAATAGTGAATTAAACATTTTTTTATCGATTTAACGCTTTAACGCTTAATTAACCAGAGAGTAAAGTATAAGCCTTATTAAATAATTCGATAATAGTTTTCAAAAATAAATATTCATGAAAAAAGACTATTCGTATCAAAATTGTACAATTAACTTTAAACTCGAAACAGAAAACCAATTAAATTCAGCCATTTAAACATGAACGGTAAACTATTCTGGTTGTCATATAATTTTATAAAGATGTACTCATTGTTAGGATTAATTATTGTCAATGTAGTTATTTTTCGCACTTGTTGAAGCTTAAAATTTTTTTGATTAGTGAAATATGTTGACATGCACAAATGTATTTCATTTTATATTTTACTGGAACTTGCAGTAGAAAATTTCAGTAGTAGATTTTTATTGAAATCGAATTACTGTATTATTGTGAATAATATAGTCATTTTCAGACAAGTGCTCAACGCAGTGCGTCACGCAGATAATTTAAACACACGCATGTTTGAACACATGAATAATAAATACTCTTGTTTGAATGTGAACTTTTTAAATTTATTTTTGTACCGCTGAAAGCAATAGATTATAAAAACTTGCTTATCTTGACAAATCCTTTCCATTTTACGTAAAACATTTTTTTTTTTTTTTCCGTTTTCTTACAATAAGCAAATTGACATAGATTTTCATTCAAAAAGTACCACCTTTACACGTACAAGTTAACTATTCAAATAGTTACATGTTTTCTTGTTTTTACATTTTATACCATTTGAATTTCTTTAACTTGTGCGTCATGACCACTTGGGATATTATTATTTGTACTGCCATCAAATAACCATATACATTGATAGACCACGTAAACACAAAAAGTACCGCGACTTGTCGTGGTTAATTTAAAAACGGTAAATTTTGAACTGGCTACGAGAAAATACGATTTATTCCGAAGCGCTGACAGTACAGATAGATTCATTGTTTTTCACAGACAGCAAAGCGACTCGCATTTGTACGAGCTGCATCATTTTTGTATAACGTTCCCACACGTGATTAAACACCTCCGATACTCGGTATAATCACCAAAGCCATTACAGTAAGACAACTGTTTTTCGTCCTCAACTTCATTAGAAATATCCTTTTGAAATAGTTTAAAAATCAATCACCATGTACTTCGTCATTAGTCGCGCAAGTCCTTCGGTCGCAAAAAGTCCCGCAAACATTCCATCTACATCGGTGTATAGGGTACACGCATGCTCTCGAGTATTTCCTGCAAAAAAATGCAAGCCTCGTCGCTTACCTACGCAAATTTCACTCACCGCGCCGGGCAGCTGTCACCACGCTGCCTCCATTCATCGCACCTGCGTTTGAAAAAGTAGAGAAAAAAAGAGAAAAATGGCACAAAAGCCCTAATAGACTCGAGCATCCTTACGCGCGTTCGTATATTATATATACCACGCACTGTGAGCAAGAATCTCGGCTTTCGCACAAGAGTCGAAAGCAACGGCGACTACTTTCTATACGGTGCATATTGCAGCGCAAAGGAAGTCATTACGCGGGGCTTTCGACGCCGATGGCCGTGAATATTCGCGCTCGCTGCCACTTATTAATAAGAGCATTATGTGCGTATGCGACTCTTTTTTTTTTTTTTTTTCTTTCTTTCTTTCTTTTACCCAATATCCGTTTTCGCGACTCGTGATTTTCACTTTTAATTACGGTCCCGTGATTCAAAGTTCGTGCAATGTCTCGACATGAATTTTCAACGGTATTTTCAAACATCGCAAGTGATTGTTTTTCCATTGGGAGTAATAATGGCTACGCGAGAGATCTCCGTAGAAACTCTATACAAGTAAAGGTGGTGCAAGTACTTACTTTTTTTTTTTTTTTTTTTTTTCATCCATAAATCGACAAAGTGAAAGTATGCGGGGTATCAGGAGGAGAAGCGCTTTCGAATTAATTCTTTTGTAAAAGAACCATATTGAAATATCGAATATCGTTAATACCTAGTTTTCTCAACGTCCGAGAGTATACGTTTTCGTGACTTTTTCCCCCCTCGAAACAACCAAAGCGTTTCACCGACGATAAATTCTCATATTATAGAGTTATTATTAATAGCCTTCTTTTTTCATGCTCTCGATGACAATTTTACGTCGGCGTTAATCACAATCGAGAACGTGTACTTATAATTCAGCTACAAATTGAAAATCGATAAGAGATCGGTACACATCCATCTTTCGCGTAGGCTCATTTTTCAAAAAACAACCCTCCGAGTCTACTCACTTTCCTCAAAGCTGCATCATGCGTATATATACTCGAAAGGATAAGCACACAATGGCGAGCAATTATCGCCATGGCTTACCGATCGATAAATCGGCGTATAGCAGGCCACCGGTGAGCAAAGCTTTCGAGCAACTTTCTACGCCACAGATTTTATTCCACGGATCAAAGTACGCAGCGAGAAATACAAACATATACGTGTATATACTTATTGCGCGCCAAAAGTGTTTGAGTGATATGCGTTCGCACCGTGACGTACCCTCATGGTTTTCCGTTCTCCCGAGCACGATTGTTCCCCCCCCTCCCCGACTCGTTGATGGACGGCTCAATGCGCGTGTATTACCACGAGAGAGTCGGCGTTCCCTGGAGCGCGGGTGGATAAAAAATTACAAGGCGAATCCAAAGACAACGGGGAGCGCGTGGAATGTCGATATGGGAAAATCGGCGAGGGCGAATGGTGCGGCTATCGGTTTGACGAAGCTCGCTCGGCTTTTGCGTTTTCCCGCGGTGTGTCTTTGGGAGTGGGTTATCGCCGGGTCTCGAGTTTCTTTGGAAAATTTCCGGATAATCGCGGCTTTTCACTTGTATTTTTCAGTCTCGAGTGCTATTTTCTCCCGATAATGTAATGCGTTACTGATGTTACGAACTATTTAATCCTTTTTTTTTTAATTCTTTTTTTTTATTTTTTTGTAACTTNTTTTTTTTTTTTTTTTTTTTTTTTTTTTTTTTTTTTTTTTTTTTTTTTTTTTCATTCTTACATGTGACTAACTGTTTCCAGCTGAATTCGTGTGTTTTATTTGGAACGAGGCGAAGAAAAATTTGGAAAAACACCTGCACTTTCTTCCGTAAGAAAATATTGTTTTTATAAAACACAATGTTACAACTAGTAAAAAATCGAAAAAAAAAAAAAAACAGCAAAAACAGTGCTTAGTATCATTTTTGAAAAAAACTTGATGGTTGTGCAAAAATCGGCTCGTCTACAAAGCCATGAGATTCTAGTTTAGACAGTCGTCGATGGGAAATATCCAAAATTACGACATAATTGCCAATAGGTCCTTTACACTCCACAACAATCAAGATTCCATAGCAGGAAAAAAAGGCCACAATAAGAAAGCCAGTGTCACGATACATGTGGATATAAGGTTTCTCAATGCGCAATTTGTACACTCGCTACGCCGCAGGTTATTAGTAGTGTACAGCGCAGTAAGTAACGCAACCTATCGCCAAGTATGCCGACACGCGGAGGATATCCGATGACCATTTTGCCGAATCACCCACGAAGCTGTAGTGTGCTTTCTTCTTATCATCAAACTGGAGAGCACAAACAACTTTCAACAACAACTTCCTGAGTTTTTTTTTTTTTTTTTTTTTTTCATGTAAAAATATTGATTGTACAAATTGCGCAATCATTAATATTTTGATGAATAGGTATTGTAGTGAAAGATGAGCGGTTTCGGTCGTTGCGACATCGACGTGTGTGCAGTGACACGGTTATATACTCGATTTCTTGGAGCAGCTACTCCTAGATGTGTACTCATTGTATTTTGATTTTATTGGCATTACGCGGATGGACAATTACTTTTGTGTCGTAACGTACCGATTTCTTAGCAAAAGTAACGTCTTTTCTAAACAGTCGAACTGCAATGTGTGTCAGGAGGATTCATTTTTTCACTTGAAAATTACATTACCATTCATCATCATCATCATCCTTATTATTATTATTATCATTGTTATTGTTATTATTACATCTATTGAGTCATAACAATGAAGCAAGGGTATACCAATATACATTCCAAATGAGTTCGACGTCTGTAATAAAACAATCTACGTGTACCTTTTGTGATTTCAGAACGAGGTGGAAGAAAGTGCAGTCCGATGTCCCGATTGCAATGGCCAGGGACAGGCTAAACTCGGACTACTCGGAGAACATGAGCGACGCTACGGCTTGCAGCTACATGGTCAGTTCTTGCGAAAATGTCACGGAACACGGAATTATATACTTCAACACGTGTATTACATGTTACGCGCTCGTCGGACCTTAAGGTGCAGTTTATTTTTTTTTTGTCCTACACCCGCATGTGGTGGTGAAACCTCACGCGTTTAACTGAGAAATTGAGTAGTTTATTGTTCCTTCCCATAAAAGTGTCGTAGCTTGGCTGCCTTTACTCGCGAGTAAAGAGTATAAGGCAAACCTCTTTTTTTACCGGTATATTCTCTCCTATTATCCCTCGATTTTGTATCTTTTAAAGATATCATGTACAAAGAATTTAAGTATAGGAAAGTCACATGCTTGTGTAAACCAGTAATAGCATCTGCATCGATTGATTGGTCGAAATCGCCGAGATCGGTATACAGATCGGTAACTATAAGTTTGTCTTCGGGGACTCGTAGCAACAGTCCGATCTACTATTCACACATAAACACAATACACCAGTACAATCGAATAAAAAAAAAAGAAGAAAAATACTAACTCCCCACCGGCCCTTGCCGATCCACACGCCCGCAGCGTTCAGCGCGCAGCAGCATGTTCCAGGAGCCGTTCTTCCTGCACCCGCCGGGCTCAAGGCCCCGGGACGGCCTCTACATCAATCCCATGAGTTCGGCATACGCGCGCCAAAAGGACAACGTCGGGCTGAACGGTGGCCCAAGCACCGGTGGCGCGAGCAACGGCTCCGAGTCGTTTTACCTGCACAGTCCGCACGAGCTCGTCTACACGCGCATCACCCATCTGTTCGATGAAACGCCGAGCCTCACCGTCGCCGCCACCAGCAGCGACCGTCCCACGTGCACCACGAGCCCCAGCAGCAGCAGCAGCAGCCGAGCTTCCACCGACAGAAAGGACGAACTGATCACCGGTATGCCTTTTTACTTTGCTAATATTAGTATTGTTATTTGTCTTGAGAGCTGTTTTTAATTGTTTCGTTGCTTGGGGGGATATACTACATCCCCGTAATCGTGAAAACTCGCACGAGCGACATACATGTATGGATAAATGAAAATCGATTTGTCTGCTTTTAATGAGCGCGCGAAAGACCGCACGACCCGTTTGAAGGAAAGAGAAAAAAAAAAAAAAAAAAAAAATACAAACCTAATCACGCGTGTACCTCACGGTTCGCGTGTTATGAAAAATCGGGCTGAATTGCCGATCGCGTGCTCAATTAATCTCGATACCGTTGCGTTGGAAGGGTATACGACTCGCGCCAAGGAAAAAACTAACGAACCAAGAAAAGCACTTGGAAAGTTTGAAAAAAAAAAAAAAAAAAAAAAAAACCATTTTATTTATTGCCGAGCATCGGCGCTCTCGAGCAGTGTACATTGATACGCGTTCTTTATTGCCGAGTCACAATTTATAGAGCAAAACGTGTGTAGTCATTACTTTTTATTGCTCGTTAAATATAAAAATCCTCCTACGAGTTGTTTTTCCTTTTTTTTTTTACGACTACAAAAGATTTCATTGCTAAATCGTCAAAACGTGAAAAAGGAAAAAAAAACAACACTGGTTCTGTGATTGTGCATCGCTATTGCGTAATAGTGTAATTACTTGAAATATAATTGAAAAAATAAACCCAAAAAACCCATGTACATCCGAAAGATGGTCAAGATAAAGCGCAGCTTCTTTGGCTCGTTGAGCGCACACACGCGATGTATACCGTATACATGTATATACCTACGTATCGTGCCATATATGAAATTCCGTTCGCGTGATCGATACGTGTATGCACGTACCCACACGGGAGGAAAAGGGGGAGGAGAGGCGCCGACCGGTTATGCATATCGTTCAGCCAGAGATAAAGAGAGAAAGAGCCAATCTATTTATAGTAGACGCTTTCTGAATAATAGCCAATCTCCGCCGACAGCCCCGTAACGCTGTGCGTCACGCACGTAATTAGTGAAAATGTGCTAAGTGAATCTGATGCCGCTCCCTGCGCTTCTTTATTTTGCGTACACTGAACCATTTTCTTTTTCCTTTCTCAATGTTGCGCCGCTCGAAGTACACTCGAAATGACGATTTGACCTTGTTTTATTTTTATTACCATTGGTAAACATATAAATATATATATANAAAAAAAAAAAAAAAAAAAAAAAAAAAAAAAAAAAAAAAAAAAAAAAAAATACAAACCTAATCACGCGTGTACCTGCACGGTTCGCGTGTTATGAAAAATCGGGCTGAATTGCCGATCGCGTGCTCAATTAATCTCGATACCGTTGCGTTGGAAGGATCGTCGAGCTCAAAAAAAAAGTAACACCAGCAGATAGAAGCAGAGATGGAAAAAAACGCGTTTGTGTTTCCCTCTATATACCGTGGCAATCGAGAGAAATTAGAATAAAAGCAGCAGTGTCGGTGAAACTGCAGTCCAACGATAAGCTTTGACGCGGATGAGACAAAATTTCCGATTCCCGATACATACCGATTTTTTTCGTACCGTGTATGATTCGTCGATCCGCAGTGAAAGTGGACGTGCACATCAACAACAACGGCAGCCACAGCAAGGGCAGCGGGAGTAGTCCGGTGTTGCCGAGCATCGCCAGCGCCGGTAGCTCGCCGAGATCGGAACACGCGGCCAAGGCCACCGATAGCGGCAGCGAGCACGCGTACGAGCAGATTTGCATCGGCCGGGACGAGGCGGCGCTGTGCCAGGCCAGAGGCTGCGCAGGTAGCCCGTCGTCGGTTGGGGCGCACAAGAAACTCGCGGCCACCGATAACGTCGCCGACACCAGGTAATTACTACATATACGATGTATGACTACCGATACCTGGTTTTTTTTTTTTTTTTTTTTTTTTTTTTTTTTTTTTCCAGCATCACCGAGAACAGAAGGAGCAAAAGCACACGTGTCTTCTTTTTTTTTCTTGTCCTATAATGATGCGTGCATGGGGTTGAATGTAAAATGATGGTCATGTCGATCCTATTGGAGAAGACAAATCGGTTCGTCACTCTGTCGATGGCAAGGATGGCAGGACGATGAGCTTGTTACCTGCAGCATCGTTGTGTATAGGGTATTACCAAGTACCTACTAGGTCTCACGTGAATGAGCCCCATATAAATGAACAAACGAGTGTGTGGTACAGAAACCTCAAATCAAACAAAGTATAGCTTCAACGTAGCGAGCGTAATATTACGTATACAGTTAATCGCTATCGGTAATCGGTCTAATTTTCAACAGATCCCACAGAGGGGGAGATAGACGGTACAGCAGATCGAGCAGTGCCAGTGAATCGTCGAACATGAGCAGCGAAGTTCATTATTCCTCGGCGACATCGACGCCTCCGCTTTCCCGTAACAGCAGCAACGAGCGGATGAACAAGAGCCCGAAAGTCCCGGATGTCCCTACGGGTGAGACAAAACCCCGTATACCGTTGGCTCAAGTGCGATACCGATTTCTTTTCTTTTTTTTTTTTTCTTCCGCATGCATTTCTAATAGTACTTACAAGATAGATGAAAATTTTACATTGTCCGCGATACCGATACCATACTATTATTATTTTTTCCGTACAAGAACGAGCTAAAAATTATAGATACGTATACGTACGATCCCCTGGAAAATACTGCCGATCATTCGCAAGACTTTGGCTATTGTTATCGATAACATATCGGTGATGTGGGAAACCGGTAGTACACAACTCGTAATTGTCGTATACGAAGATAGTGTAATACGTATTTCGCCGGGGGTATACGCTCGGAATGATTACTGTTTTTATTGGAAAAGCCGTGCCGGAAGTGAAAGCGCATGTGCCGGTTGTCGCGTGCGCACATACTTGATGCGATGGGGCGTTGATTTGATTTGATTTTTTTTTTTTTTTTTAAATTTCGGTGTTGAAACTTCGGTAGCTATGGTAAAATGGTAAAGTCGGCGAATTGTCGTTTCAGAAAGGAAAATCTCGACGGCCAACTCGACGAGGGCGGACAGTGAGAAGGACGCCAAGCCAACGATCAATGGATTCAGGCAAGTAGGCCGAGCCGATCGGGTGTGAAATAGAGGACGCGTTTATACAACGATCGGTCGATCACCGAAATTAGAAATTCATGATTGATTGCGAGCATTGTGTCGTACTCTGGGAAGGTTAACTTATTGTTTTTTTTTTTTTTTTGTAGTATCTTTCTTGAGTTGAAAATAAATAAATCGAGAAAAAGTTTCACCTCGCGATTCCTTAATGGCATAAACGGTATGGTTTTCAAGTAAAATTAAACAATTGAATCGAACAAAGGAAACCACTTGATTAGATAAAATACAGCCCCGCATCGATTACCTGAAACCCACTGTCTCTCGATGAAACACAGTGGCGCGTAATGAAAAAAATTACACCCCGGATCTGCAAAATGTTTCTCTCATGAAAAAAGAAGCACCTTTTCCGTTGACGCGCAATTGAAAGAACCAATTGGCTCATCGTATTGTATTCGCAGCAGTATATTCAGGCCACCGCCACCGCCACCTCCACCGCCCCCGGAAATCGAGGAGGTCGTGATAGTGACGTCGAAAGTCGTGGAGAGCACCGTCAAAGAGGAGAACAAGCACGGCAGCCAGTCTACCACGCACCAGGAGCAAAAATGCGAGGCCACCATTACCACGATTTCCGGTGCGAAAAAAAAAAAATTTCTCTCTCTCTCGCAATGTAAAACAAAATTCCCACATTTTGAGCCCTTCCTTTGATCTCGCGGTAAGTGTACACTCGGAAGATCGACTTTATCCCGTGAGTTTGACGTAACGCGCCAAAGTCCATATCATCAACATCGCGTACACACATACCGCAGTTAAATACAAAACATGGACGATGATGATGATGATGATGATGATGATGATGCAGTGTTATCAGAGCGTGTAGTCGAAGATCCTAGTCGGGGCCTTTAACACGTGTACAAATCCAAGCGCTTGCATCCAAAGCGTCAATTAAAATACACGTTGAAACGTATCACGTACACGTACACTTACATCACTGGCCGCGCATCCGATGCGTGTATATAGGTGTGTATATAATGTATATAATGTATATGTACACGAGGGCAAAGGATCGGTATGGGTGTATCGGTACTGCCGCGTGGAGGTATCTTAATTGGGGCTCGGGAGTCGGGAGGCGCATGGAGTGCATCGTGCACTCGGGCGATTATGGATGTGTGGCTCGGGCCATTATTACTAGACCATGGCGCTCAGGCGGGCATATAATACACTTACCTAGATTTCACCCGCGACTCTTTCTCATTCTCTCTCCGTGCAGCATAACTGCGCACCTGGTGTGCCTATACCTACATATGTTAATGGTAGCCTCCTCCTCACGTGCTCAATGTCCGCATGCATGCACTCCAGCAGCAGCCAGCAGCAAGTCCGGCTGCGGCAGCAACGAGGCTACGACGACAGTGGTGCTGGAGGGCTGCCGCGGCGGCGAGTCCCCGGAAACGATAGTCGGCAGCGGTCAGCCGGCAGGACCGAGCGGCCATCACCACCAGCAACGGGCCAGCGAGATCGGGGAGGAGTCGGGCAGGACCTTTACCACCACGACCACGACGAGCGGTTGTCAGGTGACCGCCCACCTGGTCAACAGGCACATGGTGCTGCCCTTCATACCGCCCAAGTTCGCAGCCCAGTCGGCCGACTCGGACACACTGCTCAAGCCCTCCGAGTACCTCAGGAGCATTTGCAAGGCTACCACCGATGCGGCCAATACCTGTGCCACCAACAACCTTCTCTCCAAGGCGAGGTGAGTTTGGTTTCTCTCTTTTTTTTTTTTTTTTTTTTTTTTTTTCTTCCCTCCCACGTCTTGACTTTCTTTCCTTTTTTTTTTCTCCATGACTTGGGCTTTTTTTTCGTGATGGCAGGTGCGATCTCGAGAGAGAGAGTTTTCGGCGATTTCGTGCGATCGTTCGGTATTTAGGATAGGTAGGGAAAATGCCTCGTTTTTTTTTTCTTATCTTGGAGCACGGGTGTTTTTTTTTTTCACAATTTTTTTTCGATTATTTCGATTAGCGTTATACGATGCCCGATAAATGTGCCGTCGCAGATAAGCGCGCGCGAGGATCAATAAGTCGTATACTTTTAGTGCAGTTCAATTTGTAATTGACAGTGCGCAACGTGGACACGTGCACTTTTATATGATGTCTGTGATGCAATTGAACGTGCACTTTATATTGCCATACGCCGACGAGAAAACAATAAACGCACCGTTGGGTTGGTTGGGCCGATCTAATTGTCTTTGTCGAAACCAGCAATGATCGGATTAATTTTTTTATCGAGTATACTATAACGATTGGAGTAATGTTCCTTTGAAAAGCGCACGTGTATAAAGATAAACCATATTATATGAGGGGAAAAACACGCGAAGGTTACGGTGACGTAATTATTACCTTTTATATCGTTTGACCAATTTTTAAATTGCAATTTTTCTCGTCCAATCGCGCGAATTTATACACGCAGGTTCTAAAACATGGCTCAAAAAACACGGTACCAGCTCGATTGATTTCTTTTTTTTTTTTCTCGGCTAAAGCGCGTTCCGCTACACGATCTGCACATCCGGCTCGAAAATGGCAACACACGCGCCAGCGCAAAATATACACCGAACGTCCGTCAAACTCCTCTTCCTTTTTTTCTTTTTCCCCCCGCGTATAACGAGTATACCTACTTGTTTCGAACAATTTCTGCAAAAAAATTAAACACACTCGCGCGTTGGACCACAAGTGTATATAATATGTATGCATATCTCTTCACCTTTGTGGCGTTTAGAGCTCGCCGGCCTGTGAAACGAGGTGTATTTTTTCTTCTTTTCCCACAAATTTACGGCTTTTCCATGGTACGATTATTTAACATATGGTGAGCAAATTTGAAACAGGTCGGTAGACAACTTGGACATACAGGGCAGAGGCTGCGAGGAGCCCGAGGCGGCAGAGGAGCGTAAGAGCGAGGGTGACGCGGAGGAGGCAGCTCAGGACAGGGACTCGGCCGGGCCACCACCACCCCCGTTGCCTCCACCGCCGGCCAACGGGGTGGGGACAGCCACGGGTCTGCTGACGTTCTCGAGCGCCACGGCCGCGGAGACGAGGCAGGCCCAGCAGTTGCAGCAGCCCCTGGCCACCATCAGCATCCACGATCTGTCGAGCGTCCAGCTGAGACGCACCAACGCCAAGATGCACGCGGCCAAGACCTTCTCGGCTCCGCCCAATCGCAGTGTCTCCATGAACAACGGTCCGTCTTGTTTATTTTCAATCAATTACCATTTCATTTTCGAGCTTACGTTGCGCCATTGTTTCGCAGTGTCGGAAGCGGTTTACGTCCAGAGGACGGACCTGATCGCCGAGTTGAAGAAGACGCGGGACATACCGGGGATTAAGAAGCTCAAAGTCGAGCGCGCCCAGAACGAAAAGTCCCAGGAGCGGAGCCTCATATCGGAGATCAACAAGAACTTTAGCGCGTCCAACTTTGTTGATCAAGTAGTGTACAAAATTCCCTTTCTTCCCCTCCCCTCCCCCCCCCCTTTTTTTTTATTTCTCATGCGTGTTCTAAAAATGTTACGGAATACAATCAACGTATGCATATTTTTTTTCAAGTTTTTCTCCATTGGCTTTTATTCATCGACAATATCGTGGAAAGTGAGCAACAAATCGTACCGTTGCATACACTCGTGGTAGAAGCCGGTGGTGTTTAGGGTATCCAGTTGGGTAGAATTAGATTTTTCGAAAGTTAAATTGAAAATCGTTTTCGCTAGATTCTAGCGTTATCAGTAACATCTTAAGTTGAAAAGCCTTTTACCATTTTTTTGGCCATAGATTGGCCTTTCAACTTGGGATGCTTTTTCTAATGTTATTATCTAGTGAAAACATTTTTAGACCAAGGTTGTCAAATTCTCTGATTTTCGGCCCGAAACCAGCTTATTACATCCAACCAATCAGAACTATTTTCAGTATGACCGTAGAAAGAGCAAAAACTTCCCTTAGTTTTTTTTTTTTTTTTTTTTTTTTCATCTCCGATTTTCCTCCCTGGACTCGAGTATAGCCCATAATTTTCGATCATCTCGACAGATACCGGAAAAGGACAGCGCGGGCAACGTGATACCGATCTGGAAGAGACAAATGCTGGCGAGAAAGGCGGCGGAACGGGCGAAGCGGGAGATGGAGGAGAAGATCGCGAGGGAGAACGAGGAGAAGCGCATACAAGCAATACCGCCCTGGAAGAGGCAACTGCTCGCGCGGAAGGACAGCGAGAACAAGTGTCCGGGGTGAGTCGCAGGGTCCCGATTTTTGTTGCCGATCTTTACGCGAATTCGATACTGATAAAATCGGTATATAACAGGTCGAGTGCAGCGACGCAGCAACACACAACGCCAGCGACGACGGCTGCGATGTCCTTGCCGAAAATCGAGGTGGCTCCGAAAAAGGAGCTGGTGCTCGAGGTGTCCTCGGTGCCGGTGACGGAGGAAATCGGCAACAAAGCCGCGGTGGCGCAAGAGGAGAAAAAGAGCGAACCCAATCACCATCAACACGACGATGACGGCGATGACGACGATTCCGGCAACGTGCACATCATTCCTTGGAGAGCGCAACTTCGCAAGACAAACAGCAAACTCAATATCCTCGACTGAACGCAAAGATCGGCCGGCGAAATCTTATGTGGATCGCAGTAGTACCATTTTTTTGGCGTTAGCCATCTGTTTTTTTTTTTTTTTTTTTTTTTTTTTTTTATATGCAATCGAGTTTGCGACCCGTTGGTTGGAATAGTATATATTTTTTATATACGTAAACAACAAAATACAGAAATAATGGTGCAAATAACATTTACTTGAGGCATGTTCATACGTGTTCCGTGTAAGCACGTACTTGTACGGTGTTTATTGTAGAGAGGAAAAAAAATTATTCTTAATAAAGACCCCGTGAACATGTTTGAGGAATTAATAGGTACGTAACGTCTTGATTGTCTAACATTAATCCTCATTGCTCCTTTGTTAATGATATACATATATGCGTATTATCTAATGTCGTCGACCTCTTTTTAACGTGTAAATAAAGTTTTTTTCTTTTACTACGTATAATAGTATTTATTTCGATGCATAACACAATAAACAGTAAGTAAAAAAAAAAAAAAAAAAATACCTGTATTTCGTGCGATCGTTCGGTATTTAGGATAGGTAGGGAAAATGCCTCGTTTTTTTTTTCTTATCTTGGAGCACGGGTGTTTTTTTTTTTCACAATTTTTTTTCGATTATTTCGATTAGCGTTATACGATGCCCGATAAATGTGCCGTCGCAGATAAGCGCGCGCGAGGATCAATAAGTCGTATACTTTTAGTGCAGTTCAATTTGTAATTGACAGTGCGCAACGTGGACACGTGCACTTTTATATGATGTCTGTGATGCAATTGAACGTGCACTTTATATTGCCATACGCCGACGAGAAAACAATAAACGCACCGTTGGGTTGGTTGGGCCGATCTAATTGTCTTTGTCGAAACCAGCAATGATCGGATTAATTTTTTTATCGAGTATACTATAACGATTGGAGTAATGTTCCTTTGAAAAGCGCACGTGTATAAAGATAAACCATATTATATGAGGGGAAAAACACGCGAAGGTTACGGTGACGTAATTATTACCTTTTATATCGTTTGACCAATTTTTAAATTGCAATTTTTCTCGTCCAATCGCGCGAATTTATACACGCAGGTTCTAAAACATGGCTCAAAAAACACGGTACCAGCTCGATTGATTTCTTTTTTTTTTTTCTCGGCTAAAGCGCGTTCCGCTACACGATCTGCACATCCGGCTCGAAAATGGCAACACACGCGCCAGCGCAAAATATACACCGAACGTCCGTCAAACTCCTCTTCCTTTTTTTCTTTTTCCCCCCGCGTATAACGAGTATACCTACTTGTTTCGAACAATTTCTGCAAAAAAATTAAACACACTCGCGCGTTGGACCACAAGTGTATATAATATGTATGCATATCTCTTCACCTTTGTGGCGTTTAGAGCTCGCCGGCCTGTGAAACGAGGTGTATTTTTTCTTCTTTTCCCACAAATTTACGGCTTTTCCATGGTACGATTATTTAACATATGGTGAGCAAATTTGAAACAGGTCGGTAGACAACTTGGACATACAGGGCAGAGGCTGCGAGGAGCCCGAGGCGGCAGAGGAGCGTAAGAGCGAGGGTGACGCGGAGGAGGCAGCTCAGGACAGGGACTCGGCCGGGCCACCACCACCCCCGTTGCCTCCACCGCCGGCCAACGGGGTGGGGACAGCCACGGGTCTGCTGACGTTCTCGAGCGCCACGGCCGCGGAGACGAGGCAGGCCCAGCAGTTGCAGCAGCCCCTGGCCACCATCAGCATCCACGATCTGTCGAGCGTCCAGCTGAGACGCACCAACGCCAAGATGCACGCGGCCAAGACCTTCTCGGCTCCGCCCAATCGCAGTGTCTCCATGANTGCACTTTGGGTATTACTCGTCACGCCGTGCGATATGTACATTTTTTGTTTTTTGTTTTGTTTTCCTAATCGTATTGTATCATCCTTCCCTGCTTGTATAATCAATTATATTATATTCTCGTTCATGTTAATAATTCACTAACTAAGTGCTGTGTGTTTCATCCTTTTTTTCCTTTCGCCGGACAGAAATGAACACAATACATGACAGAATTTACAAACATGATCAACAATGGAAAATCGTTATGCACGCACAAGTAACTATTGTGGTTTTACAAAAACAATCGTATAAAATGACGTGTAAGATGTATATTGTATTATTTATTTTATGTTTTATTATTTTCGTTTGGTTGGAGCAAAATTTGTATAAAAACGCGGATCAACGTAATAATTACGCAGGTAATAGCAAAGTACAGCAATCGCAAGTAACGATAATTATATTAATTTTCCATAATCTCTCATTATATAATCATTGGTCGCATTTACATATATACGCACACGGCGGGGTGTAACAAACAATGGAAAAAAAAGGCATACGGCGCTCATCACCCCTAATTCGGATTGGCACAATCAACAAGAATTTTCATTCAAAAGGTAGTGTATAGACACTCGCCTATGAGTTACAACATATCCTTTGTTCGATTTAATTTTTCTTTCTTTCGCTACAAACAGGAAGCGTGCGATTTCTCTTTCTCTCTGCCAGACAACTTTGGGCGAGACCAAAAATGTTTACTGTTTCAACCCTGCAATCTCTTTGGCTCTTGTCTCATTTTTCGAAAATGCACGTTTATATTATTGATAATAGGTTTGCAGTAAGTATATAGATACCGAACTTTCATCGGATCGTCACGAGCGCCCTGATGTGACGCCGAAAACGGCGTGAAATTAGTCTTACAGATTCGTGGTTTTCTGGTTTGATTACCTGGTCCGCTAAGTAATTCAGGATTTCATCGCTATACTCATGTCTGACGTTTGATTGTACACCGTGTGTGCAATGCAAGGTCCACTCGGTGCTATTCAAACTCATCACTATGAACAACAATACGTGGTTGCGTCGATGGGAAAATCACGGAAATTACGAAAACCAAACGACTTTGATGAATCTAGCGCTGAAATCCTACATTAAGTATCATATGAATCGCTCGAAAAGAGGTCAGTACGAGTTGAAGCATGTTTTTTTATTTTTTTTTTATTTTTTGTTTTTCCAGTATCAAAAGTATTGGTTCGATTAGTTCGCTCGAGTTTAGTTCAATCTGTTGTCGACCGTTGGATACAAATTTGATTGACCAAGGATCGAACGTAACCGAACGAAAATTCGATGAATGAGTGCGCAATGAAGGTGTGCTTTATTTTTCCTTGTAATTATTGTATACAAATAGTGACGATCGAAATCGATGATGATTCTACAAGTAGTAAGTCTTTCTCAGTACAATGTAAAAGTTTGGCTGCAAAAGTCTGTATAAACGTACAAACGCGCAAGACACGAATATCAAAACTTTATCTTTATTTTTTATTTTTTATTTTTTATTTATTTATTTGTTTCGAAATATCGCTCACTTTTTCTTTCTTGTTTTTTTTTTTTAAAGAAAAATCGCTTTTAATGTGTCAATTGTGATCGTGACACGTTTCAATCGGATCCGTAGAGACCGTATCTATTTTGCGTATTTTTTGTAGTGTTTTTTTATCGTTTTGCTATTTTTTTAACTTTTTTTATGCTGTTTTTCGTACAATGTGCAAAGTCAAAGACGTCGCGTAATGGATGATCATTGGTAGGATACGGTAATGCCTTTATTTTGTTGCTCAGCAGCTACTTTACGTAATACAGTACTATGATTTTTTTATATTCTGTTTAAGCCCGTTTGCGATTATTTTAGTACAACTGCGCGAATATCGATAACTTTGTTTATTTATTTATTTACTTACGCGTATATTTATTTTATTTTTATTTTCCAACTCGGTAATAAGAAATTAGAAAATGTTGCATGCTAATGCGTAGGTATGTTTCTCATGCACCGTCGAAACAGTTCTGCACGCATATCTATCAAATTTGGGTACGGTTGTATGTCGTTTTCACACTTTTCAGTAAAAAATTGACATCCATCGTAATTTTTTTTTTCTTTCTTTTAAAGTACTTATACTTATATATTGTAGAAAAACGTTTGTTGTTTATACATATATATATATATATGTGTGTGTGTGTGTGTGTGTGTGTGTGTGTGTGTGTGTGTGTGTATAATATATATGTAATTTATATACTATATAGGAGCACATATAATTCTAGCGTCGTCAAACAAATTTTATTCTCAACAATTTCTCTCATCGTCACGTTGGTCATGGTAAATTTTTTTTACTATCCCTCAAAGAAAAGCATCCTTGTTATTTATTATCTGAATTTTTCATTATATCACGCATTCGCTGTACTTTGACACACACTTTAGAACACAATTTTTGTTGTAGCTTTATTTTTTAGTTAAACATCGTTTTTTAATCAATTTTAAAAAAGAAAAAAAAAAAATAATGGAAATCAAAATAGTATTTGCGACCATGGCACGGCCAAATTTTTTTTTTTAAACATTGTTTCTGTATCATTATCAGTCTAACTAACTAACGCGACTCGAAGAAAAATTTAATTGTTGAGTTATTTTTGTGGTTTCCTTTACTCAATTTTCTCGTCACTTGATTGAACACTTGGTGGATCTATCATTTACAGACAACGTAAGACCAGCTGAAAATTCGTCTTTTGGAAAATAGTCATACACTTGCTCTATAAATTTTTGACTGTCCAATTGATGCTGTTCACGACATATAAATAATTTCTTTTAGCTATACCGAATGCGAATTATTTTTATCATGTATTCGATGAATTGTAAGCTTTTATCACTGCATTTTAAAAGAAAATAAACAAAGTATGCACAAAAAGACAAGTATTCGAGACGAAATCAACAACTAGTCGTAAACCACGCACGTCCACACGGGCGACATATATAATATATATCATCAGTTTCGTATTTTAATCCTTAAATCACCTGGTGATTGATACAACTTTCGTTAAATAATTGCAACAATACAACTATCTATCTTATGTAACAAACATCGATTTATTTATTTATTTTTTGCTAAAATATCCTCGACTTTCTCGAGGTTACCACGTGTCATGTGGACTTTTTGTGAGAGCCAAAGATCTTGAAAAAAAAATTGTACGCAATCGCCCTAGAACAACATTGTGAGTATACAATTAAAATAAGTAACAGAATGATAATAATAATAATAATAATAATAATAATAAACAAGGTGCATCTGTATGCGGCAACAAAACAAAGCGTCAAATACAAATTCTTACTTCCTCGATTTTAAAAATAAGTTACAATTTATTGAGTCAGTTTGTGCTATATTTGATGTTATTGTATGGTAACGTTGTGTCTTAAATTAACGCACTGTAACGTAAAAGCAATTAAAAAAAAAAAAAAAAAAAAAAAATTCTATTAGTTACAGAAAAGAGAACAGCATATGCTACATCTTACAGTTGTTTTAAAGCAATCCATTGATTATTGGATTCATGTATGAGAAAAATAAAGTAGGTACGTGTGATGGTCACAACAAAACTAGAACGTACAATACTAATAAGGTGAACAAATAAAATGAGTATTCTTTACACAAAGAAAAAAAAATGGAGGTTGTGTCGTGTGTATCAAAAAAATTGCATACAATTTTTTTCCCTCTCGATGAGTGACAACAAACGCGCCTACTGAAACACCAAGCTTCCTTTTTTTTGCTATTCTTTATTTTTCTAAATTTTACTCAACAGCTACTTTTCGCTAAACTTATTCTTCATCTCACTCACCACGTTTCATTTTATTTATTTTTTTTTCCTCCTCCTCAATTTATTACTCTTAGCTTTTTTTTTCATAATAGTCATTAATTTGTTTTTGTCTCATACGTCTGAGCGATAAAAAAGAACACACGCCTATCGTTCGGCTTGTAACACTCATATAAAGGTTTGTATAATATATCATTTGATAATGAAGAGTCCTAGTAATGTACAAAGAGTTCGCGTACCTGTAGTAACATACAGATACCTACAGTCATCGCGAGAACACACAAAAAACCGAGCGTCGATATCTCTCTCCTTTATTTTTTGTCCGTCCCAACCATCGCTTCGCCTCCACTTCCTCATTGCATTGATTTTATGATTTTCACTCAACTCGTGTGCGAAACTTCACTTTTCCTACGAGAACGACGACGACGACGATAATTCTTTTGGCAGTATTTTAACTCTTTACAAACGTTCAACGTTCCCTTCCTAGTACTGACAGTTGAGATATTTAATATGTATTTATATATACACCCGCAAGTCGCAAGAACTATAAATTCTTATCGTCGTTACACGTACGTCGCTTACATTAACGATTAATTTTATTTATTCCTAATCTATAAATGGCAGTATTAGCTTTTTCTTCCTGACTCTTTTCCTATCTTGCATCTTTCGGTCATCCACTAAACAGTTTTTTTTTCCATTTGTGTAATGCGCATGTTATTACTTTTTTTTCATGCATATTAATCATATGTATGTAAATATGTACGTTTCGTTAGTGATACAACTACAATCGCGACTGTTATCGGTATACGTAGAAATTACCAACTAGTATAATAATAATATTAATAATAATAATAATAATAATAATAATAATAGTAATAATAATAATAATAATAACAAAAACAAGGTAAATGTCGTGTGTAGTCGCTACATCTTGTCACGCTGAAATTTTCACTTATGGGCTAAGGGTTGATTTGGGTTTACGCTAGCGTTGCGAAAAAAAAAAGAATTTCTAAACAATAATATGAAAAAACCTCAGTCAATTTTTTGCGTACGGCAGTTAAAGCGATGAAAATCAGTGATCGAGTATCTATTTTTTCGAACTGTGTACCCTTTTTCACTTTTAACGTGGAAAAAATTAGAATCGCTACTAGAAAAAAAAAAGAAAGAAAATCGAATATCACTTATATCACTATCCGATTTCCGATTCGAGGCGTTTCACTCTGCATTGCGTCTCTCGTACGCAAGAAACATACATCAGATTCCTTTTTTTTTTTTTTTTTTTTTTCAATTTTTTTTTATCCAGGTGTCTTTAAAACAGCCTTTAACTTGCCTCTCCATGCGTCGAGCTATGCAATCGATTTTCAATCGTTTGTCATTCGATTCTTGACGCGTGTGAAAGTTTTCTCTTTTTCTACAAAAAAAAAAAAAAAAAGGAAAACGATACTGCAGTGAAAGTGACACACCTCAAATTTAAAATGCAACGGTACATGCATCGCTCTCTCGAACTTGTCATCTTATAAAATCCATTAATCTCTAAAATAATGCACACACACACACGCAAAAATCCTCGTAAAAATCGTCACAATCGCTCTCGTAAAGTGTCATTCGTTCCCGCTATCGTGTTTTTTATTTAAATCATTATCGTCCATTTGCTCGTTTTCGTAAAAAATTTTTTTACACAATATAGTCTTATCCGCCAAGTCTCTTAGTCTCGCTTAACACTGTATTGCAGTGCACAAGATAATAAAAAAAAAAAAATAAAAAAATGTTTATAGCGCTTGGTTAACGATCGAGCACTAGCGCGCGAGTCGCCGACGAATCGCCGATTGAACGACGCTGCTGATGGTTCTTTGCGTCGATACTCAGTGAAAAAACACTATGTGCGTAAAAAATGTCATTCGCTTGACTTTTTTGTTTCATTATTATTATTCACGACAAATCGATGGTGGTAAAAAAATGAAAAAAAAGGCTTCTATAGGGTCATCGTTGGCGACTCGCGCGTTGCCTTCGTACAATATCGGTAATATCGCGACTATGATTAACAATAAGGTCCCACGACAATAATCATAGTGAAAATAGTAATAATGATAATAAAATGAACAGTAGTAAAAATAATTGTAACAATAGGCGACGATGGTGATATGAAAATAAACGATAGTCAATCAATTAACGACTAAAAATGTGTGGGTATACGATAATAATATTAATAATAATGATAACGATAGTGGTAATAATATTGGTGATAGTGTTGATATACAAAATAAAGATTCGTGGACAGGAAGAACGATGAAAGAAGAAAAAAGAAGGAAAAAAAAAAAAAAAAAAACGTAAGTATAGGTATTTCGACAGTAATGTTGTGGTACGTGTATTTGTTAGCTTGTTCGCGTCACTCTTCGCTTTAACAGTAATAATCGCGTTCTGCGAGTGGGTACGGTACAACAACACAATTATTTATTTATGTATAAATGTATGTGATGCATGCACGTTTTTATTAACGAATGGTTATCATATACGTATAAAACTGCATACTACGTGGTCTGACGCGGCGAAACAGCCGCCGCTCTCACTCTTATTCTCTCTCCCTGGTATGTCTTTTTTTTTTTTTTCTTTTTATATCATTTTCTTTCTTATCGTTGAAATTTAAACGCATCGCTTACCGTCATACGTCTCACGTATGGTGTGTAGATTGTTGTAAAAAATAATAGTAGAAAAAAAAAAATAATAATAATAATAAAAATAAAACACAGTAAAACATTAGGTGAGAATTCAATCGTCGCGCGCATAAAATGTGTGCGTACGAGTCCTGACGTTGGACTCTTGTGTTTCGTCTTAGACGACGGGTAGCATATAATAGTAGGTAGTAACGGTGGCTCAGTGACAACAGGAGCGTCATCGCGAGGCAATTCACTTGGGCACGCGATAGTAGCGCAGCACGAGGTAGCCCATCGTCCTGAAGACGACGAGGAATGCGAGCAGGACAGCCGTGTTGGCCCACAGTGACAGCCCGTACGAGCCCTTGTAGCTACCGTTGCCCTGATTTGCGAGTATCGCCGACACGGGTATCGTCGTGCCGTTTCTGCACTCGAGGAACTTGCTCGGATGTGAGCAACTGCAACAACATTCAAAATCATCCTCATGATCATCAATTCAGTGATGTACACGTACACTGTGAAATCCAAGTGTGGTAAAATGCACGTTTAAAGCATGTAGTCGGAATGGATGCCAAGCCTATTGAACTAAACAATTGTTTTTCTCCAACTATTGACATAATATCAAGGCTGTATAGAGTAAAACATTTCTGTCACAGATATTACACACACTTGTAAACGTGTTAAATCTGTGACAGCTAATTTTTTTTTTCACTCCACAGTTTCCCTATACATTGGTTTTCCCCATAGTATTCAATTTAGTAAACCACTTGGTGCACCATAGACTTGATTGTTCTTCAAATCCTCATAAACGCAACCACGATGTCAACTACACACTTTAAACATGTATTTTAATCCGCTTGGAATTACAGTGTACGTACATGTCGGGAAGAGAAAGAGAGAGCTAGTATGGATTATCGGTTTGGCTGGTAATCTTCGTGAAAGAACCAGATAGTTAACTTGAAGAGTATTGCTCTCCTTGCTATAGAAATAGAGAGCTAGCTCTTTCTTTTGCCCGTACACGAGGACGATACAGGATGTAAACAAAGTATCAGCGAGTCAGTAAAGGTACTGGTGTATATAAGTGTGTATACGATATGGATGAATACTCACACGATGGGCTCGCCGACGCCAAACTCGAGGATCTGCATGTTCTGGTACGCGTAATGGACCATACTGACGTAGCGCGCCCAGGCGAGCCACGGTGGCACTGCGGTCGCCAAGTAGCCGCCCAACAACTGGGTCGCCAGGGTGTAGAGAGCCGACGCGGTTATGCTCACCTGTAGATCCAGACAGCAGGCGCCCACGAAGAAACCCACGCTCTGCGGGAAAACGATGGCTTGTCACTTGTTTTTTTGTTTTTTTTTACGTAGCTCATACAGACACATTGAAAATCGAGTTTTCAATAGAGTGCTAGACTGTTACATCAAACAGTTGTTACGACCGAGCTACAGTATGACAATATATATATATATATTGTACGAAGGTATCCCGTACTCTTTAGTAACGAGTGTGCATCATCGCGGCATTCAATTATCTCTCGTCTTGCGAAATTCCGGCCTTTGAGTTTTGGAGAGCTAGCCCAGCGGTGTACCATAGTAACCGTTCATTATCAAAGCCACAACAGCCGTGTACAATAACGGTGTCTCTCCTGCTCGTTGAAAATAAACCGTCACACTCAACATCATCATCATCATCATCATTATCCGAAACGCGTACACCGCCCATCGTTTGCAACTTAATCGTCTCGTAAAGACCCAAAAACTGCAGTGTCTGTGTGGCACAGCCTGCGGCAGGTCGAGTGCGGCAATACACAGGCAGGTAACAAACACGCGGTGTGTGTAAAGCGGAGGAGTATTGGCGAGTTGAATTACCTGGGCGACTATCGTGTTGAGTAGGAGGAAGGCGAGTAACGTGACGAAAACGACGAAGCTGTGAAAGCCGAGCATCGGGTAGCTGATTATGTGGTAGACCGCAGGCAGGGTTATCGTGAGCGGCAACTCGCCGACCATCTTGGCGAGGTAGTACGCCGATAGCCGGTACGAGCCCGACAGCCGTTCCTTGTTTATCACCTCTCGTTCCGGAGGAACTGCAATTCCAACGTGGGATATTATACAATGTACCTATTTTTCGAGGAAACAAACAAAACGCGACTCACAGCTCGAGAGGGCGCTAAAGTGAGCAAAGAGCATCCAATAGGTCGTGCTGAAGAACATCCAGCCCTGGATGTCGTGGAGCGACGCCTCGGTCCTGGGCAGCCGGAACCAGAGGAGACCGGCCAACACGCCCAACGCCACGGTCTGCAGCCAATTCAGCCGGGATAACATCCGCGGCCTCGCCTCCTGGAAATTCCTCTCCGATAATACCTGCCGAGGACAATGCACACACACACACACAGGTCAATATAATCATTACTTTTGCCAATGTTTAAATAGGTGGACAACTAACTTTGAACTGGGACCAAAAGCTGGTGGGCCACTGCCAGGTGTAATCGTCGTCGGCCGAGCTGGCGTTGCTGCTCGCGTGGCTCTGCGTGTCCAGCCAGAGCGTGCGTCCCTCTTCCTCTTTGCCTGCGGCGCGCCGACATATGTTCCCGAGTTGCGTGGAACGGATATGGAAAAAAATACCAAGGTTATTCGAGTTTCGTTAAATTAACCGTACCATTGTGTGGGGTAGGCGCTAAAGAGGGTGCCTGTCGTCCGGGAGAAAGCTATTGCGTTTGCATTTCGAAGGAGAAAGTTGCGGACATGGGAGAGAAAGTTAGTTGTACGCTTTTGTTCTTTTCCATCTGTCGATGCATTGAGGAAGACAAATAAATAAAAAATACAATATTATAGGTAAGAAAAATCAACGTGTCAGCAATACCCAAAGACATGATGTATATACAAACATAATCACTCGCTCGCCAACTGCGGCCAGCAACAAGTATAGTTGAAAAACTCGCGTCACCCAGCAGATACGAAAAAAGAAAAAGAAAAAAACACGAGCGTCTAACGCGTAGAGCCGTGTACGATAGGGGGGGGGGTAGATAGTAGGTATTTGGCCCCAGACTCTCTCTCGGCTACGGTGAGCTTGCAAGCTCGGGAGGAGGAAGCTGGCGTATAGATGCTGGGCAGTTGCATCGATCCGCAAGCGCGCGCTCGCGTCGCCATTGCTGCCGGCGACGCCGGTAGTGGCATTTCCGGCGGCGTCGGCGTTGCTGCTCGGTAAGGCCAGGGGTATATACATGTCCATGCTTCCGTTTGTGTTTCGATGCGTATACGTGTCCGAGTGGACATTGAAGGGGGAGGGGAATAAGTGCTGTTGCGGACATAAACAGAAAGAGGAGAGAGGGAGATGAGCTAGAAGGAGACTGCGGGTGTTGGGTAATGAGAGCCCGCGGTGGGTAGGGAACAGACGGTTAATAATTATCAACTTTTTATGCTTAATCGATGAATAAAAAAAAAAAAAAAAAAAAAAAAAAAAAAAAAAAAAACTCATAGTCATTTTATATAGGTGACGCGCTGAACAGCTCATTGGCAGACAAAGACAGAAATTCTCATTACCATTGTGCGTGATGTGGTGCTCGTGGTAGTGGATGAGATGCTCGCAGAGCGGATGCTGGCTGGGGTTGTAGTCGGGACGCAACTCGGGCGGACAGTCGGGACCCTGGCGCGCTGCTCTGGCCGCCACGACGATGCGCTCCCTCACCTCCTCCGGGCCTTTTATCTGCTCCACTGGGAAATAACGAAAATTCAGTTACCCTCGCTACGATAGTTTAGCTCTTGGACGATCCTCCGCGGGTAGGTAGCAACGCCCCGAAATTGAAGGTCGCGCACGCGGGCCAACGGGAAGCAAATGAGAAGGTAGGCCCGTCCACGTTGACTTTTTTTGGCTCTCTCTCTCTCTCTCTTTGCCACCGGTGTCCGTGCAATTTCAGCGAATGAGTTTTATTTTCAATCCCCTTTAATACCGCGTCCGTCGCTAACAACACGGAGCATCAGCCAAAGTTAATTAAAAGGAGAGAGATAGCGGCAACGGTAATGAGCCCGAGACCGAGTTTTTACGGGGTCATAAATCCCCCGGGTGTAATTGAAAATTCGGCGGTACAGCTGTTTTCGTGAGCAATGGGGCCCCGTCGCTTTCAATCAACTTTAAACGGAACGCCAAATCGAGCAATCTTTCGCGAGGAGGGAGGGGTAAAGAGGGAGGTACACTTACGTATGAGGTCGGCGGGATTGTAGTGCGGCAGAAGGGTGAGCCCGATGCCGGAAAAAAATCTCCCGACGTTGGCCGTGGTACCGTAGTAGGCGATCTGGCCCCTGCTGAGCAGCAGTAGTTTGTTGAAGGTGTGAAACATGCGAGAGCTCGGCTGGTGGACCGTGATAACGATGCTCTTGCCCTCCTGCTCGGCGTACATCTTCAGCCGGGATATCAGGGCCTGGGCCGAGTGCGAGTCCAGCCCGCTCGTTGGCTCCTGCCGTTTGTAGGGATTAACAATTTCACATTTATTGCTCACTTCAATTAATTATTTACTTTAGACTGTTATTACAACATATATATATACATACACGTGTAGGGCTACAATTACGCGAGATTCGTGTTTGTCCGGTTTTTCGTACAAAATCTCGTGTCAAATCTAATGTGGGTACATTAAACGTGGGTATAGCTTGTTTGATTTTAAATAGGATTTCACTGCTTGTTACTTCAATTGATTTTCAACAGTGCGTAACGCGTGAGTGGTGCTATTTTTTTTTTGTCACTAAATGAACGAAATCATGAAAATCAGTAGTAATAGTCGATTTTGGTCAGACTTTGGAAACAGTGAGCGTACACGTATTTGTAAAGCGTATTTATAACAGCATATTTTTTAAATACTCATCGTTTGTCGATTACACATATAAATTATGGTTTAAATGCGCCGGGTTACTTACGTCCAGCAACATTAACGACGGATTCGTAAGCAATTCGCAGGCTATACTCGTCCTTTTCTTCTCTCCTCCCGACAATCCTCGCTTCGTGTAGTCACCGACAACTGAAAAAACATATTCACACGAGCATTGTCAATATATCGATGATCTACAACATCGTTATCTAAAGTTATCAAAGGATTTAATTCAACACTTTGTATTAAACTATAATCCAAGATAATGGATAATCCGCGATTTCGAATTAATCGGGGTTTCCATGTTTCGTAAAATTCAACGGCAATTAACTTCCGTTGCGAATGGAAACGATAACCATCGAGACTAATGGCGAGGGGGAAAACATGTGGCAGTAATGGTCGTCGTGGCTGAGAAAGAGAGAGAATTTCCATGTATCATTACATCACGTTTTGCCGATACGATCCCGAAATGAAAACGTTTCCGAGAACAGAACGAGGGCACGTGCTGTTGTACCGGTGTCCCGCACCTATTGACGTACAACCGATCGCCATTGTAATGTATACACGGGCATAGACGCGTTTGGTTGTAATACATATGGATGTACCGTATTGATGCATGGACTTACTGGTGTCCTGGCAGGTGCCGAGGTCGAGAACCTCGATGATGTGATCGACGCACTGCATCTTTTGCGAGTGGGAGAGGGTGTCCGGAAGCCTCAGCCGAGCCTGGTACTGAAAAAACAAATGCGGTCATCGTTACTATCGTTATATTTGCACAAAAACACACCGGTCGCTCCCATTAACTTTTGCGAAAGCATCGTCGCACCTGTGGACTTTTCATGCTACGCGTTTTATATATACCGACTTAGTTAGTAGAAGGACGTCTACGAACACGGGGTATTTTCCCTTGGTAATTAAACCTCCGTTCCTTATTTGCCTTTGTTTCACGTGGCTGTGTACTGTGACCCTTATAAATTTTCTCTTTAATTGAGCTACGAAGAGTATACAGGGGGAGGATGAAGATCGAGAGGGTAATTAATTTTATTTTTCTTTTTTAGCAATTAACTCGGTCCCTGTTGTTTTAAATAAATTTTGAAAACATAACTACACACACGTAGTGCGGGCATTGCGTGTTGGTGGTTGATTAGGTGAACGCATGGTAGACATGATAATTATACAAATGGATTTAATTTTAAAAGTCGTGCGCGACACTGTTCCGGCACACGCTGACTCGGTAGGCACTACTCCATTAAATTACATTTGTCACTGTTGGAGCTCGGTTTCGTTGGGGATCGTCCTCCATGACATATACACGTTGAAAAACGCTCTACCTGCGTATATATATGACAGGACTGATGTTTTTATTAATCCATATTTTTATACAATATAAACTATATGCTTTTGGTATCATATGACAAATAAGCCTCACAAGCAGCGAAGATTTATATACGTGGGTTACTTTGACAAATATTTGTCAGTCACGCGAATTGACACCAAAAAAGAGAAAGAAAAATGATTTCTAGGACGCGACAAATCATACAGCATGAAATAGAGCCACTTACGTGCCGTTCGCATACCCATATTATTTATTATCCATAGGGACACTGTATACACTTACCGAAAAATCCTTATCCATATAAATCAAACCGACAATCATCATCGATTGCAACAAAAACTTTATTTGGGACAAGGGAACACGTGAGGAAAAAATGAATTACTCTAGATTATGCAGGTAAGTACAAATGGTAAATAAACCTCGAGTAAATGGCAAAGCGTAGTCATTGCACCAATGTAGGCATCAATATACGGGTACACTCGACTCCACAGCTGAGCGGTTGCCGCTAAAACGACTCACTCTCACTTTCGAGGCTCAGTGTACGATGTATACGGACGAGCACCAGCGGCGTGATGTAAATATACGCGTGGAGAGGCCTACTGTTACCGAGAGCCGTGATCCGAGAGGATCGAAAATCGCTCGTCGCGATCTTCACGCCACCGCGTGTGTATGTGTACTCAACGCCGACTAGGCTGCCTTTTTCACCCCCCTCTCACCATTTACGCGAGCATTAGAGAACAAATGCATCGCTGTATTGTTTTCAGCTGCCCTACATACGTATTCAGTACTCGTGATGCACATGTACATGAGATACATTTTGGAAACAGGACAAAGGAAAAAAAAAAAGGGTACGTACTACCTATCGGATCGATCTTACGAGCGTGTGGTAGCGTCGCATCAGAGTAAGCTGCTGTCGTCGGTGTACTGCATTACTTCCTCTATCTGGGTACACGCGATCGGTTGTACGCTTTTGTGTACCGAGTACTCCTTCTTTTTTTCCCCATTGCGAGAGACTGTGTACACGAAAAAAAAAAAAAAAAAAAAAAAACATCGCAGGCCATTAAAAACCAGCTCGACCGCGGGGCCCACCATTACACGTACAAGTGACTTCCTAAAGAGCCTTCGAGAAAAAAAACTTCTCTGTTCCCCGAATAAAGGGGGGAAGGGTGTTTCTCTTGGCTTCGTCTTTAACGTGTACACAGGGAGCAAAATTTCGAGGAAAAAAAAAAAAGAAAAAAGTAGTACCCAAGTATATAAGAGAGAGAGAGAGAGTTGTGTGTCTACATGTATAATGTCTACTTGGTCGTTATACGCTCCGCAGTTATACACAGCGGTGTGAAAGGTCCTTTGGGGTCCCACGAAAGTGAAGAAGGAAAAGAGAAAAAAAAGGGGGGGGGCCTCGCCCGCGTTGGGTTCCGTTACACGAGTACCTTACGGGGCACCACCTTGGCTTCCCTTGCGTCCGTGTACCCCTCTTTTCGAATGTCCCGTTCGTCGAATCGCATTACGGGAGGATCGACAGGGAGAAAGGCCCTGTGGCGAGCACCGGGGCTTAATTGTGCGGGTACAAACCGGGAGACGTAGCCTTTTTCCCTCCTTAATGGCAGGGCTTTTACGCTCTCTCGCGCACGTGCCCATCTGGGCCTTGCCTTCATTGTTGCCTGTCGAAATTGTCTTTCTCTCCGCTACGGCCTTTTTTTTGCTTCATTGCGCGCCTTTTCGTTTAAAGGGAAGTGACGTAACACTGGCACCGTTAAAGGAAGAGTTTTGTGGTGGGCAGCTTTTTTTTCCCAGGCAAGGAAAATGTGGCGAGTTTCGCACGGGAAGCTTTTGCGAGATGGTGCACTGCGTGTACATACGTACGGGGTGTAAAGTGGGATTGAGAAAACAATTGGCCAAGTGGTCTGATTTACAACGGGAACTAACTTCCATTGTACCCCCTTGTGAGTTGTTACTGTTGTTTTTTGATTGTACGTCATTGATGCATTTTTTTTTTTTTTTACGTTGAATATTTCGCTTCCAGTGGTCAAAGTTTATTTAAGTTAATGGAGCACCAGAAAATATTGGCAAAAATTTACCCTCTAAATTGTACTTGTACTTAAGATGCTGATGAAAGTGGTGAGATAATTTTTTTACCAATTAAGGTACAGATGCATATTATATTATGTTAAACCATTAAAACTTGGTAAATCGTACCTTAAAAATAAAAAAATTTTTTTTTAATTTTTAAACCACTTAACTCTCAGTGCTTATTATGGTCCTTGCGAATAAATAATTTTCCAACAGCTTTGATCTCAAACCAAACTGTACGTACGTTTACAATTTGTATACATACACTTCCCTCTACTGACAAAACTACAAGCCCATTCAACCAAGAAACAAAATTTAAATGAAGCACCATTTTGCAATACCTCTTCACTTTGCGCGATGGTATAATTTTGGACATTTTCATATAATTTACCAACACTATTTTAATAACAGATTGTTACTATCATCTGCAACGAAATAAGATCCCGTCTGCCCAAGCCGCCAATTAAAAAAAAAAAAAAAAATCATAGTGTCTTATCCGAGCAGCAAAGAATGAAAAAAAGAGAAAAAAAAAATAGTCCAAATGCACAACGGCCTATATTATCCTACCGCTGAAAGTATATAGCTTGCCATGAGCAAAGATCTCGTGACGGCGATCACGTACACCGCACACTCCGCACCAATGATCAGCCGAGTCCCACACCAAAGCCAATTTAAGAGAGAGCATCGGCCAATCTTCCCATGATCAACATCAGTCTTCTGGCCCTCGACTTTCTTCCGCTCAAAACATATACATGTGTATATATACACGTTACATCACGCATACTGGAGAAAGAGGGATATTTACTCACTCTCTGGGCCACTGACACGCGCACGAAATCAGTTGACACGTGCACCTTTCTCTCTCTCTCTCTCTCTCTCCCTCTTTTCTTTCTTTCTTTCTTTCTTTTTTTTTTTTTTTTTGCACATCCCCGAGTTCATTCCCCTTTCGGCGTCTCGTATCATTCCCCATATCCGCACGACACGTGCACGCCAAAGGCTGCAGACGAGACGTCGAATTCCACGGGCTCCTTTTTTTATTTTTCAACAACACGCGTTTCATGGAAGGGAAGGGGTGTAACATTGGCACTTGGATTATTATTTCGAAAAAAAAGTAGGACACGCGCGCGAAACTGCTCGCGAAGCTTATCGAATGTATACACGTGCACGGTACTCGAACGCAGGGTTTTGCGATCTCGTGGACGCCCGTGGCGAGCTGAATCGTACGCGTGCCTTATCCAACGGACCGAGAGATCGGAGCCTGATAAGGTCGCGGGCCCGGAAATTCTTCATTTCCGCGTGTGAAGGTACTAATGACCTGCCCTCCTGTACATGTCCTGTTTCATCGAAGCCTTCATCCCGAAACTGATTTATTGAATTTTAATGCGTCTGCGAGTGAGATGGAACTCTATAATATGGTACCGGCCAACAAATGGTTCGGCGGCACGAGAAATTGTAAATATCTGGGCGTTCGATCATCACGAGCTTTCGCGTGTCGGGAGAAATCCCCGTGTACCAACGCGGACGCGATGCCACCCTCCCCCGCCGGGGAGAAAGGGAGATTCGCGTAACGCGACAAGTTTTTTAACTTTTGGGCCCCGTGACAGCGACACGCAAATACAATATCGTAGGGGGACAAAAAGAGAGAGACGCGCTGCACTGGCGATAGGTGTATGTATAATACATGTACACCAAGCGCGTATATAACTCGGTCAGTGAACCGAAAGGGGCAAGGGGGGAGGGGTGCCCTGCTCCTCTTGCTCTTACGTGTTTTAAAAACACATTCGGCATGGCTGTATATACATTCGTTCTCTTTTTCTTCTTCTCGTGACAAGCCGCACGTGTGGTTGCACGGAAAAAGAGCCGTCCCGTCACCAACACCACATCACTGCCGGTGAAAGACATATTATATAGGAGTGATGTACACGGTGTATTCCGCGAACGCTGTCAAAGGTGAAAGGTGCAGGTTTGATTGTTACAGGGGACCACGCGCTAGTGTACCGATTGCTGCTGTGTTACGCTCCTATTATATAAAAATCCGATGCTACGTTGTCAAGCAGTACAACAAGGTAGCTGTCAAAGTGTGCCGCTGATGGCAGCGTTTGCGGAATACGCCCATGTAGAGAGACAACGAAAAAGTGTCATTGGCCGCTCGAGTTTTGCGGATATGTATATATATGCGCGAAGGGGGGGAGGGATGGGCGACCTAATTTCATTAGGTTAGCGTTTTGACGATGTATCAGCTATTATACTATATTAGCTTGGCTCGTGCAAGATTATAATGTATTATTTTTTAAGACGTATGGCCCCTTTTTCTTTTACTATTTATTTTTCCGTTCAACGAAACGTCGTCTAACGTAGACTTGTGGAGCCTACAAATTTTGGTGATTTAGTAGTTAGGTGTATTAGTTGTTTGTTTGCCAAACGTCATTGTAACTGCAAAATTTACTGATTTTTCTTGTCTAATTGAAATCCATTTAACAATTTTTGCTTTGACACAATTTTCTCTTTTTCAACAGTTAAATACATTTCCTTCAAGTAAATGCTTGATTGCACTGTAGACTGCATTGAGAATAAAAAAAAAAAGAAAGTACCAACTAAAGACGTAGGTACACATGAGGCACAACACACAGTGCAGTATATTTGGTCGCCCGAAAAAAAAAAAAAAAAAAAAAAAAAAAAAAAAAAAAAAAAAAAAAACAATGGTAACCGACACGCGGTTCCAGTGAAGAAAGATCCGTTACACCATAATAAATATATGTATATATCGTACACAGAAGGACGAGCTGAGAAAAAAAAGAGAGCACAATACCCATACAGGTATATCGAACTTAAAGAGAGGGATGGGCCCATAGTCGTGTATATATACTCAGTAAGTATATGTATAGGCAAGCAAACACCGAAGGGGCCTAATACTCCTTGTTTTTTCAATCGCGCACGTGTACGACCTTCTCCTACTTTTCTCGTCCTCTTCTTTGCGCTTTAATACGCGTAAAAAAGAAGTAGAAGAAGGAAGGATAAAAGGTCGTGTGTATTATAATAATGCCCATGCACACACACATACACAGAGAAACCGAAGAGGAGGACCCCTTCTTTTTGTTCCTCCTCTGTATACTCTTCCTTTTAGGGCAGTGTGAGCACACGCCTGTATATATATATACGGATGGACGGACGGGGTCAGGTATAAAACGTAAGGCAGAGGCGCCTCGTGTGTGCAGGTATACAGCGCCAGAGCGGGTGTGTGTAACGTAACGGGACGCATTTTATATACGCACTGCTGCTCGACCTTCTTGAAATTCGAGGAATTCAAGGTCGGAGGAGGAGAGTGCGCGTTTAAAAAAAAAAAAAAAAAGAAAAAAAATTTATTTTCGAGCACGGTACTACAATACGACGCGAGCCACTCCTGATGCACCGATGCAACGACGCGCCGTTTGTTGCGTTATGCGCGTTGCCGATAAAACCAGTTTGCTCGAAACGTGTACACCCATATATATATATACTTGCATGTATACGAAAGAGAGAGAGAGAGAGAGAGAGAGAGAGAGGGGTCGATCGGTGTAGTTGAAAATAGCAGCTGTAAAAGGTGGCTAAAAAAGAAAAAAAGCAATACAAAAGATAATAAAGCGTAACAGTGACCGTAATTTCGCGGGAGCCGTGCAAGCGTGCAGTATCTTCCTTTCCTTACCCACTCGCTTGCCTTTCTCTCGCGGCTTTGTTGTTGTTGTTTTTTTTTTTCCTCTCTTCGGCTCCTCTCGGCAAAAAAGTAAGTAGGTATATGTATATACGAGGACCCTTTTGTGGTACAGCTGGGCTGTTTTCGTGGTTTCCGGCTGCATCGACGCACCGCGCACTCGTGCGGATGTGTGCATAATGGAGTCAGGTGTGAGGGGGGGGGGGTATAAATGTACCGTCGCTGTCTTATTACCGAAATTCACCGTTTTCTCCTTTGAGGCTGCACGAGTGCGCACGGTAGCACGGGGCACATTTACGTGTTGTATATATATATATATATACCTATACTCCCGCGGGCCACCTCTTTCATCTTTTTTAATGGGTCATTCGAAAATGGATGCCCCACCCCCGACTTCCTTTTCGTTCCGTCATCTCGAGCGTTTGTGTCGCGTGTGTTTCCGAGTAGTTTGCTCGCTCCTCAGTTTTTTACTTTTCTTCTTCGTCTTTTCTTTCACGTGCACGTTTTTTTTTTCTTTCTTTTTTGTTTTTTTTCTCCACCAACCAACTGCTGTTGATGCTGTAAGTACAGCTGACGGCTGTTAGCAAAAGTAGGCAGTTTTGGTATACTGTACTCCAGCTGGTCTTACTCGTATCGGCTGTTACTACTGATGGCTGAGCATATCTACGGCAAACACACGCAGGAAGATCAACGTAGCTTAAATGCTTATATGGTCTGGTGAGAAGGACAATCTACTCGTCATCTTAGACGAGAAAATCAGATGAATCCAGAGAGAAGAGCTACTGCAGCTAGCCCCCTCCTCCCCCCCTTCCTTTGCCGTCGAGCAGAGTTGCATCACTCTCGTTAAATCACCCCTCGACTCTTACCTCGGCTTCGAATTACCAATAAGCTTGAAGGAAATTTCTCCATGTGTCAGAGAGAAATACAAATTTCACCGGATGAACCTTCCCATGTGGAGTATATACACATAAGCGCTGCTTCTCTACGGGGCCAGAGAGAGAAACTATGTTATACCCTATTGGGCGCACTTGGCATCCGCACTTGTTTTCATTTTAACTGGTATGTATATACATATATACACGTGTACTTCCATATACATCGTGATGTCCTGCTGATTTCTATCCACGGACTCTTGGGCTTTCCCATACATACTGCGGCGCTGAGCTTTCACGCAGCCGATATGTCGTCGTATCAAGTAACACCGCGCGTAAGCATTATTCGCGTGGGTTTATAACGGGGGGTGTGTGCGATCGTGGTAATCTCGTTTTCTTCTCCGTACTATGTATTGTTTTTTTGTTTGGGGGACGGGTAGCATTTACCTGTACATTGACGGGGTGGTTACCGCTAAAGTTTCATTTGGACATTGTACATGATTTTATCCATTACAGGGTAAGTTGCAAAAGTTATTGAAAAAATAATAGTCCCACGTTTGGAGTAAAGAATTGTTTTTGATAGGATAATCGGTTGCTGAACGGAGATTCAAGTACATCAAATTATTTTTCAGCCATTCCTACCTAACAGAGCATCGTGGACCTCTAGTTAAGGAGTCTGAGGAGGGTTTTTTGTTCGCTTCAATTCTGGTAGAAAAATTTCCGTTAAACCAAGTAAGTTTGATCCAACTCTTTTTGAGCACTCGTTTTTTCTTTTAAAACAGTTGAATTTCGGAAGCAAGTACGTTCACCCATATACTCTGTATGAGTACTCATACTTAAAAAAAAAAAAATAATCTACACAGGCCATTCGATGCATTTCGCAAAAGTTAACTGGAACGACCCAAATTCGCGTGTAGTTATACGTATTGATATGTATTTTCTCGCAAACGTGTAGAAGCAGAAGCAAATTACCTCTAAAGTCTGTCTGAGGGTGAGATCTGGAAAGAAGATGTCCTGCTGTTGCACGTAGCAGATCCGCCGGCGCCATCTCTTTGTGAGCCTCTCCCGGTTCAGCCAAATCTCACCGCCGTCGAGCCCGATGCGACCAGACAGACAGTTCAACAGCGTGGACTTGCCGCAACCTTTTGACCAAACAGACGCGAATTTTTTTTTTTTTTTTCTCGTTCGAAAGCTCTTTTCGGCATTAAGGTGGTTCCATCACGTTTTCACCGTAGGGGCTGAAAATCACGCGTCGACGGTACAAATTTAAAGGAAAACATTGTTAAGCTTGCATTGAAAATTTTTTTTAGCTTCACGAGATCGAAAAAACTGTGATTTTCCGCCGAACCACCTTAATTTTTCTATAGTCTTGGGGTGAAAACCCTCGTTGAGCACAAAAATTCATTCGAGCAACTGAATGGTATGTTGAAACGGGATAATGTACCTGAAGGTCCCATGACAGCAAGCAATTCGCCCGGTTTGACGATACCGGATACATCGCGCAGGAGGGAGCGTTTGTCCTTGACGACTTGCAAATTTCGGAAGACCAGTTGCACGGGCCGAGAATCCAAGGGACACACCAGTTGTAGCGCTGAACTTTCCACTCTGCAATCACAAGGAAAACCACATTAATCACATGTAAATGGAAAACAAAAAAAAAAAAAACAAAAAAAAAGCAAAATAAATAAAACAAAAGTAGGATTGTTTTAAAAAATGTGTGATCGCTCGCTTGATTTTTACGCCAATTAAACCTCGTATCTATTGTCTCCTTCCTACGTGACGAGTAGATGTGGCAAAAACGCCGTCCATCTCGAGCGAGCATATCACACAGGCACGTGTGTATAGGTGCTCGTACACGCACATCTGGTGCAGCGAAACTGCAGGCCTGCTTCGAAACGGGTTTTCTAATGCCGGTCGACAAATCAAACGAGGTAACAACGACACCACGAACAGCCAAACGGGAGGTAAAAGCAAGGAGCTTGACATAATCCCAGTTGGTATAGGTGTGTGCCCGTGCATGGATGGAGCGATCGGAGAAAGAGAGCAAAAAATAGCATAGACGGGAGGGATGGGAAAAAGGCGCGTAGAAATAAATGACGGACGATGGAAAGCGTGAAAACGTACGTCCGTCCAAGGTCGTACGCGACCTAGCCGAAAGAGGAAAGCTGGTCGCTTAGTGGAACGCGAGCCTCTTCTTCATCTTCTTTTTTTTTTTTTTTTTTTTTTTTTTTTCTTCACTCCATCGTTGCTGCTGTTGTTAGCGCATCTCTTGCTAAACTTTCTAACGAACGCTGGTATGTGTTCTTTTCCGAGCGTCGAGAGAGACTCGAATGGTAGGGAATACGAGAGAAAAAAAAATTCACGATGCTATATGCGTGCCTTGCGGTACAATACGTGACGAGGAAAAGAGGTGTGTGCGCAGAGAGAGAGAGAGAGAGAGAGAGCATCAAGTTTTCATGGGTGTATAACGTGCATGCGTATACACGCGGGAGAGAGAGAAAATGGCAAGTGAATTTTCTCGCGCGCGCTCATCACGTACACGAGAGTACCTCATGGTGTTTTTCGAAGAACCGGGAAATTGAGAAACTCTTCGGACGCCAATGCTGATGGTCAGCTGACTTTTGTCACGAACAATGGCTTTTCCATGAGTTGTTTTTTTTTCCCTGCATGTTAAGGTGTCAATATTTATTGCGATTTTCTTTTATATTTCATAAAAGTGACTGTCTCGTGTTTATTTTTTTTCGGAGCAAAAAGTGTATTGTACTTTTGGTGCTTTAGATCAAATGACCACTGTATACGGGCACGTTAGATGGACACCATCTCAATACTATCAGACAACAAGTTGGAGGAAAAATCTATAAAAAACGCGAACACTCCATGGGGTTAAAAGGAAATTTATCCAGTTTTTTCGTATGTAACTTCGCACGTGAGGTCCATACGCACAGCAACAAAAATACTTGTAGTTTCGTGCTCTTCTTTTTTATGAGCACAGGAAAAAAAAAAAAAAAAACAGAAAAAAAGCTTTTCATTCCTCAAAAAACGTAGTTTTTGCATAAATTTCACTGAAACTCTCTCCCCTTAGTTGTGACGAAAAAAACCGAGCATCGACATTTGCGAAGCCTCAACAAAACTAAAAAGAAGGGGACCCAAAAGAATTTCTCATTCTCCCAGCGATCATCATAATAATCGTTTTGAATTTCATTTCACGACGACGAGGCGTCGACGGCACTCATCACATCCTACCACCGCAACGAAACGGCATTAACGCGCAAAAATGGAAGGGAAAAAAAAATACATCAAAAAGAAAAAATGAGAGTAACGGGTTGGGGGAGGGGGGTGAAACGACGAGAGAAGAAACCACATAATCAACCGACTGCAGCAGCCGCGAGCGAAGAAAAAAAAGGCACAGCCAAAAGGAGAGCGTTGGAGAGGCGCGAATGTATTGCTCATTTCTCTCTCTCTCTCTCTCTCTCTCTCCATACATGTATATACACATTCGGTACATATACAAGTGCGAACGATGTACACGATGCGTTGGCGTGTGAAAAAAAAGAGAGAGAAATAGCTAGCACGATATCCTAAAGGAAGCAAAAAAAAAAAAAGAGCAAAGTCGCGGGTGGGAAAGGGGAGGGAAGAAGAAGAAAAAAAAAGAAGAGCAGCTGATAATAAATTCCCAGCGGCAAGCGAGCGAGTGTGTGTACGTATATATGTATATACATATCTCGCGTCATCTCATTTCTCGCTCGATCGGGTTCGTTGAACCGCGCCCTGGCGCCTCTCTTGGCTCTCGGTAACTTCTTCGCCTTTGGCTATTCTACACGGCTTCTGCTACTACTACTCCACTTATTCGGGGTATGCCGTTGGTGATCGGTAGCGCTTTTGGAATGAATATCGTTAAGCGAGTCCTTACGTTGGACCTGAAGATATAGGCAGATGTATATTTTCCAACGCGAAGGACTAAAGGTGTACCTATAAATTACCTCCCACCAAGAAGTTTACATGTTCTCAAGCATCATGATCACAATAGGTATATGTATTGATTGTGAGTTACCGAGATACCTGGGCTACTGTAAAACTATAATGATGAAACGTATGATTTTCTTTGCACACACTTGTGTAATTATAGACGTATAGGTACCCATAATTGGAAAAGTACAGATCGCGACTCGAGAACAGCTAATAAAATGGTTGGAATGGAAAATTTTACTTTTAGAAGTAAAACAAAAAAAATAAAAAATTTGTAAACACCGTAAAATACATAATTGAACGAGATTTGTTTCCACTCGAGTAGTTAACACAAGGCATTTGCACGTTGTCTCGAAACCAGACCTATTACGAAAATTTTCCGCCGCTGAGTGACCCGTAAAACCACACGTTTAAGAAAAATAAGACACTGGTTTTTCCTTTTTTTTTTTCTGGTAATTTGTTCACCCAAATCAAACCGCGACGCTGACATTGACACTATCTTGAAAACACTCAAGTGAGATTTTGTCGCAAAACATGAATGTGAAAATAAATCGTAACCAATATTGAAAATCAAACCCTAAAAATCACCCTTCCAGCATTCCCCCTCCAAATCATAGCTATACCAGATAATTTTCTTTTTTTCAAAATCACAACTACACTCTTGCAGATTGACGAAAATTGGTTCTTGCTAACGCGCAGTAGCGTTACATTTCAGGAGTAACGCACGCGTTAAAAAAAAAAAAAAAAAAAAAACCAAATTGGGGCCCCAATCGCCTATCTGCCCTATACCTACACGGTACATTATATCGGCATTGCGAAATCACGACAAGCATCACCTAGTGCATGCGAGCGTCATAACTAAGCCCCGGCGTGAATGGAAACCCTGTTATATCAGCGAGAATGGCACGAGATTGTCTGTTACAGCGAAGGAGTTTTGCAACCTACTCACACGCACGCACACACCAATTCTCAAACGTTGTGTACATTGAAATCGTGTGCGAAATCTTTCGCGAGTGTAGCGCACGGCTCGGTTCCTCGGGAAAAATCACATTATCCTTTCTTCCCACGCGAGCGTGACGCGTATTAAAGGGGGTGGGGGGGGGAGATAATAGCGTACATTGTACATGGATATCCACCCGATCGCGTCCGCGCTCTTGTTTCTTGCTCTCCTATGTCTACGTTTCAATCAATCACTATATCCTACGTAATACACTCGCGGAGTAAAGTTTGCGTGCCTGCGTATATATACACATACTGACTCTTGACGAATTGAAAAATCCTTTCATCAACATAAGTAGCTACAGCCTACCTTTTGCACTATTATACTTAGGTACACCCATCAGTATAATCACTCATGGCAACTCTATAAATATTTACACATAATTCGGATGATTTAGATATACGTATTTAAACGTATTGTAATCCTTGTCTCGTTGTTATTAATTAAAACCGCGTGGGTGTCGTTCAACCAGTCATTTATCAGTTTTACCATTGCGATAAAGAGTACATAGTATGTATATAGCCATTGGCTTTCACAATGGCAAATGCGCTATGTTATAATTTGCTAATTCGCGTACAAGTACTTTGAGCAAAATAATTAATCGTACGGAGGATAACATTGATTTTATCTTTCGGCATCGTTTATGGCTTAGATTGTATATACGCTGTACGATTAACGCAAAATTATCAGCCAAAACATAGAGCAAACGCGTGCATGTATATAACAATAGTGCACGTTATCACGCGTTATCATATAGTCCAATAAGTATAAAGCCAAAGGTATACCCATCTGTATACTCGTGTATACGCATATGGAGCAGTAAGTGAGAAATCGTGAAGAAGAAAAAAAACTATCCAAGTACACAATACCTGTGCCTTACAGTATAATTATCCTACTTATCCTCGCATCGGTTACGACATCGCGGAAGCTTTATCTTTCCGATGATTTTCCCGATTGCTCGTACTTATACATATGGTGCTTGCGATACGGGTGAGCGCGCGCGTTGCAAGCGCAAAGTGAAAGTGAATACATATACGCACGTATGTGTGTAGGCCCAAGTATCCGATTTGTCGTGGGAGAGCGCGGCGGCTCGTTGAAATTGAACATCAAGAATATGCATATAAAGTATACGTGTATGGGTGTGCTTATCAGTATTTAGTTTGTTTGTACGGATCGCGCACGTACACGTATGTATATGAAAAGTTCGCTAACGCAAACGAGATTGAGATGTATAGTCGTGAGTCGTGGAAGCGTCAGTGGACGATAAAAATTCCACGTAACAATAAATTAATCGGAGGGAAGAGCGCGTAATCTGAGATGACGAGAGCAGCGTTTCGAGTTTTATTCACAGAGAGAGTGAAAACAAGGAGTCGGTGACCACTCGATGATTCGATAAAAAATCGCTCCCAAGAGGGGGAAAAAAAAGAGCGTGGGTAGTATCTTTACCTAATTGTGCGCTTTATTGTATATACATATCGAATCGGCGTGAATTCGCGAGGTACGAGTTTACCTGTACATGCACGAGGTTTAATTTTCTGCCTCACCATCCCCGTGAACACAATCCTCGAAAAATAGAGAAGCTCTACCACGCGGGCTCCCCCCGCAAGGAGTTGCGTGAATTTTTCTCCTCTTCCTGCCC